TCGATAAAAAAACTTGCACAGAAAAAAAAATCACACACATTTGTGCTGTAATAGAATTCAAGAGATAAAGAATGCATATTAAATAGAGACAGTCCTTTTTAAATAGTAAAAAGATTCAAATTTGGTTTAAAACTATAATGAGTGATAAATAGTCAGGAAGCAGTCATTTTCAAGGTTTTTATTGATGCCGATGTTTAAATCCAGGCATCATCGGGGCTGAAAATTGTTAATAATGAAAAAATAGTGATGATACATGAAATAGAAAAATGAAATATGTAATAAGTTATACAAACTAAAAAATAATGTATATAATCAATTTATAAGAAATGCAATATTTACTCTTACTAATCCTGTTTTGAGCACTGAAGATGTTCGAATACTGTCACTTAAGTAGGTAAGTGAGAGGGTCGTTGGAGGATTTTCAAGATGTGCTTTTAACATATCAAAGGTAGGTAAACAAAGTCAGGCGGGGTTAACGGTTTTTGTTTGCGGAACGCAAATCATTTGATAAATAAAATATTCTAGGTAACATGTGCACAATCATTACGTTGTTTCTTATTGTTAAAAAAAATTATATATTCATTATTTTTTAGTTTGTATAACTTATTACATATTTCATTTGTCAATTTCCCGTATTATCCATCACTCTGGTTTCATTATTAACCATTATCTGTCTAAAAATATTATTTCTCTGATTGTATTAAACAATTTTCAGCCCTGATATACTTGGTTTGTAACCTCGGCACCAAAAAAACCTTGAAAATGACTGCGTCTTGACTATTAATCACCCATGATATTTAGAATTGTCGACAAACTTCCTTCAATAAAACTGTAAGTGCATCTAGGGGTAGTGAAGAATGGAGGCATAGTCCGAGTCCACTGAAGCATGAAGTGTATAGGTACTATTTTGCTGATACTGCTCACAGCACCGACTGCCATTCCTGGCAGCCAACTGTTTATGCTTGGGTATTTCGCTGAAACTGCTTACGTTAGCGAGTGAATTATCACGTTAGGTTGTGTCTTTACTATAAAATGTTAATATTCATCAGTATAAATGAACCTATATTATGTACCATGTTATTATTATTCTTAGGAGACTTTAGTCTCAGAATAAAATTATTTTTTCATTTTATTCATATAAAAACATTAACCTGCCTACCTTCTGCAAAATGATAGTTTCTTATAAGATCAGGATTTTTTTACCACTGACAGTCTAGATTCTATTTTATCTAACAATGATGGTTTTTTTTTTTTGGTTTTTTTTTATATTTTGAATAGAAAATATCAGCCTCATGGTAGAAAGAATAAAAAGAAATATTATTTTATGAATTGATGATGTAATGTGGTCTCTGATTTCGAATTTATTACTCAGTAATAAATATTATATTGTCAGTTTATTGTAAATTTCGTCTGTGTAAAATCAAAACGTTGTGAAGTTGATATAACTATGTTTGATATATAAAAGGTGTAAATAACTTTCTGTTTTGTCGAGGGTCTTGGTTATTTACACTTGTGAATTTTAAGTTTTAAAAAGAAAACCCACGCTCTGGATATAAACTTTTTTAGGGTGTTTACTGTTGTTGGAAATTGAGGAAACTAATTCTTTAATGACAGTGAGTGATAAGAAATAATAAGAATATATATAAAATGTTGGACCGAGCAAATAGACTTTGAATGAATTGTCTCACAAGATTTGTTGTTTTTTAATTGTGAGGCATGTAGGACAACTAAATAAAAGAATAATCCACTCCTGTATAACAAGATAATTTATTTTAACAGCTTTAAGTAATGAATCTATTAGTCTTATAACTGCAGACTTGATCTTAATCTTCAGTGGAGTGGGCTTCTCTCCTGTCGTCACGTACTTCCGTCTTCACATACTAGCCTCAAGTGAAGTCCTTGTCCTTCCAGCATCTCTCTTGAGCTGCTGCCATCTGCCGGGCACTTTTCCAGGCTTCTTTCTTTCCTTGTTCTGCTGTATCAATTTTCATCAATTGTTTATTCATTTGGTACTTTTCACTCAACAACTTGTCCACTGCACAATTGAGTCCAATTCATAGTGCAATCTTATATTCCTATACACTCCTTCTCATTCCCTCACTCAATGTCACTTGAAGGAATAAATAGAGGACATCAACTACCAAAGGTTTGTGTTGTTTTGCAATTTTTAGAGTGATTATGTATCGACCAATTTTGTCGACAAAAATTTAGAAAATGAACTTAGTTCATGTATGAATATATATTGTAATGAAATCACAACGGATAATGTTATACCACTTTGACCAGAACCTCTCCTGGAATAATCATATCTCCCAGGTTACCCAAAAATCCAGAACTGCCCTTCAACAACTCCTAAGATTCCGTGATTGTATTCCTCTAAAAACCAGACAGTTCCTTGTAACCTCCCTTGTATTCCACCACTTCGACTACCGCTGTTTGGTGTTTGGTATAGCGCTATCTGCCAGGCTAGAAATGAGAATGAAGAGACTCTTGAATTGTTTCATAAGATACATTTTCGGGATCCCCAGGCGTTCACACGTTTCACTCTGGTACACCGAGTTGAAGTGGCTTTATCCTACTTCCCGACGACAATTCCTCCTTGGGTTTTTCCTTTTCCAAGTCTTCAGAACCAAAAACCCTCTCTACATCCTGGAATCTTTACTCTAAGTTCATCTATCCACTCTCTCAAAACCAGGTCTCAGCCTATAGATTTATATATCTCCTCCCATAAAACTACTTCCTTCAGCAAATCCTTCGTCATTCGTGCTACCTCCTTTTGGAACTCTCCGCCCAATTCCATAAGTCAATCCTCGTCCACAAATTTTTTTAAACACCTTCTATTCCATCACCTACTCCATATTCAAACAATTGCCCATTGGCAGACACCCAATTATTGGTCTAAAGCAAGATGTTTCTCTAGATGATATATTTTATAACATGAAATAGAAATTTGATAATGGAGCACATTATTATTATTTTTAAGCCTTGCATCCACAAGATCATTGGGATTGTAGTTCTGAAGATGGGAGTAAATATCCCGAATCGTAAACTTGTTAACATGTAACATTGATAATACAAGAAATATATTCAACTGTTGCTAATTGGAAGTAATTATTGCCAATAACTAAGAATATTAGACAACTTCCCAGAAAAAATAAAAAATAAAATTACTTGCATCTGTACACTGCTTAATTTCAACCTTTAGCACAATTGAAATAACAATTAACAGTAAATTAGTTTGTATTTTTATTATTATGTCAGACTAAGACCCATAAATTTGTGACTGTTATTATTCTTAGGTTTATTATTTTTTCATTCATTCATTTCATACCACTAGATAATAATAAATCGGCGATTTAATCAAAGTTTGGATTTGAGTATTTATTTGGGATTTTTTTCCATTATTTAATGTTAGTTGGAATTAGGTATATTTGAATCCGTATATAAAATATTCTTGTTACTTCAAACCAACAAAAATCATTAGCTATAGTTTTGTTTAAGGTGACCGTAATCATTAAAACTCTTCTCTGAAATGATAACATAACCTGTAACCGCCAACAGCTTCACTGCTTCAGGAGCGGTCAGAAAGGAACGGTATAGGTATGACATCATACCTAGACTGCCGGGCAGTACCAACAAAATATGCTTCTTTCAGTTCCACTAAAGCAGACCTCAACTGCTAACAGTAGGCGCAGTGGACAACACTAGCGAGGTAGTACCTTAAGATATATAATAAATGCATAATATCAAAATTATTATTAAATATTCTTTGGTAGTTACTTCTTTTTCCACTTATAAACAACTATCAATAATGCATTGCATGATCCATTTAAAAAATAAAGATGTATTATTAAGATCCATTTTAACAGAAATTAAAACTAAGAAAAGCATAGTGTAATGACTTATAAAAGCAACAGAGGATAATGGTTGGAAAATTATAAAACAAACCTGAAATAGCAGGTAAAAAATAATAATTCTGCCACCATCAGATCCCCAAAATCATAGTAACGTAAAACAATTTAAACTAAAAAGATATATAATCAGGATCATGTAATAACATTAAATCAATGAGGATTTTAAGAGTGGTCCTACTGAATCTTAATAAGCTATGCCAATCGAAAAATGGAAAAATTGGCAAAAAGTGAACTAAAGGAATAATACTTAGCAAAATGAGGTTGAACGACTCCTTCCAGAATTAACTGGAGGTTGAGGTAGTAAAGAATAAAATTATTAGTAAAGACAGCTCACTATATAAAACTAACCTAACAATTTGTTTTGTGACAATATCTACGATAGAGAAGTGATAAGCAAATCAAATAATTAATTTTACATTAGTTACTGATTCGTAAATATAGGAATTGAAATTCAAATGTATGAAGTTTTTTTTTTTTACACAAAATTCTCGACTAAGTTTACTCAAACTGTTATTAATATCTTAAGTATGAAAATTACATATTAATTGAGATAAATATACGTCTAAGATGAGTTTAGTGAAAGGGGAAGGAAGCCTGCACCTTAAATATATTTAAATCTCTCGTACTCCCTCCCCCCCTCATAACTTCATTGGCAAACTTAGTACAAGCTATACCTCATTTTCTATGAAAAATTCTCGTGACATCCCCATCCAACTTAATAAACTCTGTCTTGCTTGTAACTTTATTTTAATATAAATTTACATTTCAATTGAGCTATGGACATTTCTAAACTAAGGAATTCATGAACTTGGGTGAGCATTATACAAATTAGTTCAATGGTCATTCTAACGAGTATAAACATAATGATCATTTTGAAATATAATGATCACAAAAACTAAAATTGTTTACCTCAAGGAAATCCAAATTAGATAAAACATCTCTTTAATATTGAGACTAATCAGATGTAATCTCTCAAGGATTCTCACAAAACTCTTAATATATAGAATTGGAAATCGTAATCTATGAAACAGAGCATACATCTTCTCTGTATTTTAGAATCTTTAATAAGTAATTATCAATTTTTTTTTCTGCTAAGAATATAATTGTACCATTCTATATCTGATCTGTTCCTACTAAAAAAAACTATTTAATAATTATTTAATTGAAAGTTTAACAGATATTAATGACTTAATCTAAATTCTTTCTGCCTGGACGACGAGCTCTTCTTCCTTATAAGAGTCTTGAGGAGTCCAACAGGATTGTCGGCAGGAAAATAGGAAGACGGATCCAAATTCTAGGTGAGTGTCCGATGACTGCTGTAATCTCAGTTTCGGTATGAGTGTCGGCAGTATCTGCAGTTCGAAAGTCACATCTCCACCGCAACTGCGACAGGTCCGAGGGCGCTCTGACATCTGGTACAATGGTAAAGGAAAACCTCCATATCTAAACAAAAATTAACTGTATCATATAGGGTTTATAAATCTGAAATGTATCAGACCAGTATGTTTTAGTTTCATAATTTCTTGATCTGATTACTAATAATTGGTTTAGCTGATATTATTATCTATTTGGCGAGGTTTTTGAATTCCAACACCAAAATAAAAAAAAATAAAAATTATTTCGATCTAAAGATAAAAACAACTCATAGCTCCTACCCACTTTGCAAACTATATTTTTGAAGATGGTACTCAGGCTTCAGGCAGACAAACAAAAATCTAATCAATGACTACTTTTTTAATCATGATTTTTTAAACTTTTTTATTTTTATTTAAATTAGAATCATTTTTACTTTCACTTACCTATATATATGTAAAGGTAAGTATTGCAATCGTGAAAATTTTTTAATCTGAATTTTCAACAGAAATACACGTTTTGAGATCCCCTGAGAGCAAATAAGTACGGAAGTGAAATTACATATTTAAGGTTTTTATATGCTAGGGATGATACAGTAACTTTTTGGTCAAAATCGGCTACCGGAAGTGGCACTTTATATAATTGACTAAACGCATTTTTACGATTACCTCGAAAACCGCTCTAACAATTTTGATTAAATTCATCATATCAGAGTAAAATTAGGCAGTTTTAAATAAAATGCGGTTATTGTTCTGATTGATATTCTCTAACAGGGCTTAAATGGCTAATTTTCAATATTAGCTTCCTCTAAAGTAACTTTTTTTTTTTTTATTTGAAACAATTGACCATTTCTAATATGAAAAATGGTTAAATATAAAATATGAAAGAATTTTATAAATAACTAAAGGAGAAATAAGAGATCGTAACGGAGAATAGTTGTAATAGAGGAACCAAAGGAATACGACCCAAGCTTTCCCGAAAGATTAGAACAGCTTCCATACGTATCATGAGATTAATACAATACGGACTCCGACAATATTCTATAAATATACATTTATATAATAAACGCTTTGTTTGTATTATTAGTTTTCATAAATGCTATTGTTGGTATAATTTAATATTTAATTGTATAGATGACAAAGATATAAGTATTAAATTTTGTATATATAAGGGTACTTATACAAATAAAAATACCCACAATGAAATATAAATAAATATAGAGTCAATATATTTCACTTCCACTTCGCTTTGTTTGAAAATACTTATTTCCGATAAGAAGAGGGTGGTAAGTGAAAGTTGTGTGATGCGCACACCGCACCAGATTTTTTCAGTTCACAAATGAAACCAGAATTTTAAAACTGATTTCTTAATTTCACATAAAATTAATACAGTATCAAAATAAGCACAATGCTACAAAAGAGACATAAGGTGATTATGGTATAAATGGAAAAATCCAAACTACAAAGCCATGAGTCTCCGAAATATAGATAAATAGTTTTCTGGGCGATTGCGAAATTCATCAAAAGTTCCTTACCTCAAAATTTGTCCAGGATTTGCCTGGATCCTGGTGACTAATTGATAAAACATTTTGTCACCGTGAGCAGGAAGAGTTTTCTCATACTTTTCTTCTCCCATATTCTCATCATCTCTTTGGTGTGAAAGAAGGGCAACGTCCATTTCAGTGGGGCTTGGAGGTGGAGCATAACAGAGTTCTTCTTCGATTACACTAACGAAAAATGGTGAAAATTCAAGCCTTGATACAGGAACCTAAAAACGATAATGATTCAATTTATAAATAAATATATTAATTTAAAAAAAAAAAACTACCATAACACATGAAGGGTCTTGGGTTCAGTACTATTTAGGGAAAGTACTGTTTCTTACTCAACGGTTGTGCAAGGAGGTAATTTGAACGAGATCACGCTCAACCGTCAGGTTTTCCCCCTTAATTAATTTTTTAATTAAGGGTACCCACTTTATAGAGGCTGCATGTGCCCCAAGAGTCTCCTGATCCCAAGGTTTGGTTGCTTTTGCGTATCTTTAGTAGAGTTATAAGATTAATAGATTTAGAACTATTGGGGTCTACCACTCAGTCCTCGCCTAACAGCTCGAGTCTAAGGCCTATCAAACTTGTCACACTGACAAATAACGTGAAAGCTGTTCCGTTCTCTTGTGAAAGAATTTACACAAAGGATTAGACATAATGCCAAACTATAAAAATTGTTTCATTTTTTCTTATTTAATTATTTTACCTACTTTAATAAATGTCAACTAATGACTCTTTTTTATAACAAATATACATATTTTTTAAATACTACTTGTTACTCAATATACAGAAATTTTATTCCGTATTAAGAATATTTTTTTTTTTTTTTTAAATCCAAGGTTCCGAAAAAAATGTTGATATAAAGAAATTTTGAATATTATAAATCAACAAGTAAAATAAATCCATTTATTTTGTGCTTACTTGGGGCAAAGGTGCTGTTTCCTCTAGAACGGCGATCAAATTGACACGAGGTGCAGTCGGGGAGTCAATGCAAACGACTTCACCCTCGTCCCCTTCAATGGTAGCAGTAGCCATTGCAACCAAACCAATGGCACCTTCCCCGGAACCACAGCTATTTGCATTCTTTTCATCGGCAGCACAGATCTCCATATCGGAAATGCCTCGAGCTAAGTCTTCAGCATTCATCAAGTCGTTCGTGCCATTTATGATATTGCCATTTTCTTCATCTCCCCAGTCATCACCGCCGCCGCACCAATCATTTATATCGTTAGAATCCAACTTCTGGACATTGCCATAAGCCTCAGATCGGGAATCCAAAAGTTGACTTCTCAGACAAACCCAACTGAAAAAAAAGAAACTTTTAAAAAATTCAAGTATTTTGAAACATATAAAATAGATGAACAGTGAATTATATCAATGTGAACATTTCTAAAAGCTATTACACGTGATATGTCCCGGCAATGCGATAGCCTTCGTCGTTATCACTGCAAACTATGAAGCCCTGTGTGACTGCTCTAATAATATAATAATACAACAATATCGCTATATGTTTGTAGGAGCCTTAATGGAAGTAATTTCCACACGTAATAGCCTACCATTATTAGATCCTTGTCCTATGAATCCTATGGAATTTCATTTCTTCTTTTATCCATTCCTCCAATAAACTCCTCACTCTTAAATCCAACCTACTCAATTGCTTTCTATTCATCCATTTTCCAAAGAGCTATACATAGATGTTCTTATTTTTCTATCAAAATTAGTAAATAGATAGGAATTTTGGTACTTATTTAGTAGCGGGTATTGTCAAAACCTCCCTTCTTATCTAATCTCATTTCACATAACCTCCCTTATCTCATCTAACCTAAGTTATTCCCTTGTTTATTTTTTGTATCTTGTACTAGCTGTGAGTAAGTGTTATTTAATTATGGATGTTGTCACATTGTGGGAATTGCCGTTTTCAGAAGAAAAGGCTGTAAAATATTTTCAAGATGCCGGGATATTTGCAAAGGTCAAATATTGTGATGAAGGTCATAAAATGAAGTTCGAACGGAAGATTAAATGGAAATGCTTTCGTACTTGTAACAAAACCGTTTCTATAAGGAAAGGAACGTGGTTAGAGGGGTCTAGGATTTCTTTTTTGTCTATTTTTATTGTTTCATTTATTTTGATATATATGTTGCAATATTTTCGTAATGTTTTTTAATTATATATTTATAATGTTTTGGTGTACTTTAATATATATGTTGTAAAATAAAAGTATTTTTTATTATTACATTTGATTCTGTTTTTGTTCACAATTTTAATAATATCAATACAATACAATAAATATGAATACGAAGATATAATAATATGAATATAATACAATAAAAATGAATACGAAGATCTTATCAGTGTTAAGGTCATAAACATTGGCAGATAGCAGTCTGACGCTACCCGCTACTAAATAAGTAGCTTACTTATCCAACCTACTCAATTGCTTTCTATTCATCCATTTTTCAAAGAGTTGTACATAGATGTTTTTATTTTTCTATCAAATTAGTAAATAGATAGGAATTTTTGTTTCTTTTATATGTGGTATAATAACATAATAATAAAAAGGCTCAGCAAACCGGAAAATTCGATGGTGATACCACTAATTACCGTCAACATATACATACCACCGACCACTGCCTAAACCCAACTCTGTCAGACGAGCCCCAACACAATCCCCCCATCTTCGCTTCAGCCTATCCGTCGGACACTTCCTAGTCATCGCAGCACCATATTAACTTTTAAAGGATTTTTCCATTGCTAAGGCCAACAATTTAACAGCAATGTAATAATTTCAATTATACTAATTAGGAATAGTTTACAAAACCCGGCATAGTTTATCCATCTAAATTTTATGGTTTACTCATCTTTCTTCAGTCATATATGATGAAATGGAATTCAATACATTATATTTATATACTGTGGGGGACAGCTAAATCTTCAAACATCAAACATATCCAATCCTTTCAATCTAAAGCCCTTTGAACAATAGTCAACACTCCATACTATGTCGCAAACATAACCTTAAATCATGATCTCTTTTTGATTATTATTTTGTTTTTTGATTATTATTTTGTTCTATTTATTTTATTTTTTTTGTACATATGGTGTGAATGTCATCCTACCTCACTATAACCAATGTCCAACAGACAGATTGTTATAATACTCAATAAAGAAATTAAAAAAAAAAAAAAAATCATGATCTCAACATCCCATTTGTTCTCGATGTAATTTCATCTAGATTCATAAACTTCCATTAAAAACCTATCCATCATCCTAATCTCTTAGCACAATCCCTTTTCAGCTCCAACCATACATATAATTCCCCATGAAGTTTGAAACGACAATGGCCCCGAGATATTTTATAAATATTGTATTGGAGTTCTGGCAGTGACCAGTTTCTCCATTCAAGTCCTGAGTGTATGTGGCCTTAGCGCTCCCACTCAGTCTCCACTGACATTCAAACGGTGATGCGAGTGAGAGAGAAGCGCTGGGATCTCTTTGAGCCCTGTGTCGCCTTTCACATGAGAGCGGCAAAGCATAGTTCAGGGTTCCCCAGGCTGATTTGTAAATATTGTAAATAGGAATGAATGTGTGACAAGTATTTTTTTTTTCCTTTTTATAAGCATTTTTCTAATTCTTTAATATATATAAATATATTTTTTTTTTTTTACTTATGTTGTATTCTTATTCTCTTTTCTTCTTAGTTTGTATTTTAATTTGTATATAAGAAAGAATGTGAGCATAGAGCCATAATACCAAATGCCCTTGATTTAGTATACTAGAATACTAGGCGCCCCTCCTCCCACATCTTGCTCACCGCCTAGGAGTGGAGACTTTTAGTATGTTTACTTCCTTACTAGTTCAAACAATGTCCCAAAGTCAAAAATTGTGTCCCCGTCATTTCCTTCTATAATTATAGAATTATAGTTATCGATACAATCAAAATATCAGACTTGAAATATCTATGGTTGATATTTTCATTGATATTATTAACATTTATTAAATTCGAATACAATATAAATATTTACTCTCTAACACATGTATATGTGCAAAAAAAATAGATGGTATTTTATCTTTAAATTAATTAATGAATATATTCTGTTCTCCTTAGTAAAATTAATTTTCTAGTTTCTGTCTATCTTTGTCATCCTCAGTTTTTTTTTCAGAAATTTACATTCAACCAATTATACCTTCCATTCACCCATAGATCGGATTCAGCTAAATGCTTATTTATTTCCATCGTCGATAGATTTCTTTGACAATTCGTCGCCTTGGTTTCAGAAGGTTTTAACTAACAAATTTGGAGCAAATTGAGTTTACTGAATGAGAAGAGGTACACATGCGCCCTATTCCAATCTACTAAGGGATGATCATCGATAGTCGATATTATCAAAATATCAATATTTTCTTCTACTATGCACTAAATTCTATATGAGATAGTAGTAGTATAGCGAGGTGGGTATAATTTTTTTTCGAACACTCAGATTCATACATAATTCCTAAAGCGAAGCTTTCCGAAAACAATGGTTTTAATTTTAACTTTTAAATTAAAATATTAAAATATCGAAGGTATGATATCTATAGTTGATAATATCGCAGTAGATACTATTGATGGTACAATATCGAATACCGGAAGGAAAATATCAATATTTCGATAATATAAACTATTGACGGCCATCCCCAGCTCAAATAGTTCTGATTAAAGTGAAAATTTTGTGAGACAGTCTAAGATTTAATAATGGTATTTAAACTTTTACAGCTTAAAGTTTACCAGAAGTGGAACATATGTTAAACAATTTTTTAGATCAACATAATCATTATTTTTTTCTAACAAAACAAAGGTTGAAATATTTTTTTTTTTTCAGTAAAAATTGTTTCACTTTTAGTTTGACAAATTAAAGTTTTTGATTTTTTAGTGTCAAGAGGTGTATTGGTTGTCTTTAGCTGTGTTAATACTACAGCAATGACATTTAATTTGAATATTGATTTAATCGATTACTGAAAATAATGCATTGTAGAAATTATAAATACAAAAATTCTAAGAATCAGTTTTACTAATTTTAATTTTAATGTTCCACATATGGAACAATAGTAGATTTATGCTATAGAAAAATATATAATTCATTCTATTCGTTGTTTCCTACATTGATTTCTTAATACGAAATGAACAAGGAAATTCATAGAACTACTAATTGCTATTCTAAAATTTTTGATTTTTTGTGTAATTCCTTACTGATAAAGAAAATTTGCATAATTTTTTTCCAGTTTCTTAGAACGTATATTATTGGTAATACTACATCAAAGATCCTTTGGTATTAGTTATCTCAGTCATTATTGTGTTCTTGTCAGTACTGCATTGAGTTTCTAACTCACATTTTATAATAATTTGGTAATGTGGGCTTTACTGCGGAAAGATTGTCTGCGGACAGGAACAAAGACTTCCATCCCTCCTCGCCGGCTCAAGGCTTAAGGCTGGTGGACATTATATCAATACGGAACCCAAGGAAGGACTCTTCATTGTGGCACCAACACGAAATATCAATGCAAAGAATGCCAGAAACTCATTCATATTGGTTGATTTCCCCAATAACATGTAAATCGCATATTAGCATAACATTTTTTTTTTTTATTCCGTATTCTTACGTACACATTTTCTATTATTTTACAAACAATTATAATGTTTACTATAATATAATAATAATTTTTTATCACTATTATTAAAAACAACACTATTCGTGTAATTAATATTCTAATAAAACTATTAAGAAGAAGGTTCTTTGATTTTCATTGCTTAACCTGAACCCACCATTGTTCCACTTCTGGAACAAATAGGAAAAGCGCAAAGGAAATTTTTATTGTAGATTTGTTTTTAGGAAAGATCTTAACAGAACCATATTGAGACCAACACTACAGAAAAAAATATATATATTTCTGCTGAAATTAGGAGGTGTCGTGTAAAAAGTTAAAAATAACTTTAATTTCGGAGACTAACAAATTTTTGTTCTTTTAATAATGGTAATTAATGGAACAATATTACTCTTAGAGGAAAATATTTTATTATCCATATATACTTACATTTAGTCGCTGAAGAAAACGAGTTATATTTTAAAATAATAATATATTTTAATTTAGTTTGAATAATTCGTCAAATGGGATTTTCTGGGAAGAAGAGAGGTGTCAAAGCGGAACAAACTTGCTGTCTATAAATCGACATTCCTCCTTATCTTATCATACTCTTCAGAATTGTGAACCCTCACCACAAAAATCAAGCCATGGAAAAGAGGTATCTACTTAAAATATAAAGAAAGACACGGAGAGATAGGATACGGAAAGCCACCAAACGTCAATCCAATAGAGACCATTCTAGAGGAGCACAAACTAAGGTGGTTTGGACATCTTCTTAGGTTGGATCCAGGTAGAAGCGCCAGGAAGATTTACGAGAGCCGCACGGAGGGGAAAAGATCCAGAGAAAGCCCTAGCATCTCCTGGGAGGACAGTGTAAAGGAAACATACAGGAAGAGCGGAATAGATTGGAATAGGAGAGTAGAGTTGGTAAAAGAGAGAGAGAGCGAGCGAGCTGGGCCAGACTCTATAAGCAGGACCCTCACACCGAACGGCGATAGAAGAAGGAATGACTATGATGATGATGATATTTGGCTCATAGAAACAAAAATGGATTGGGCTAGCGAGGAAATGAAATTGCTGACCGATTGGCTACGGAAGGAACTCTGCTCCCCCAAATTAGCTATCAAGATGGGGCCCAGTCCTCTATATGAATATGGCCAAAATAAACAATCCACAGAACATGTTCTGCAGAACTGCCAGTATTTGTAGGGTATATGGAGGCAGATATGGCCCCAACCTTCAGACCTTAGGACCAAGCTGTTTGTAAGTCTGGAAAACCTAAGGAAGACTACTAATTTTTTTTTTACTTCCTAACATCCATATAGAGGAAAGAACGAGGAAGAACAAAAATGGAAAACTTTTATAAACTTGAAAGTATAATTTCCCTTTTTTTAATTCATTTATATATTTTTCTCTGATCTCCATTTTATCTTGTTACTTCCAATTTTTTTCTTTATCTTTATTTAGATTCAGTTTAGATAAAATTTTGCTTCAAATGAGGCAAAAACCAGTATTATAAGAAAACATATTATTATTGCTTTTAAAAGGGCAAAAACAATCATAGTTCTTACAGTAATAGCCTTTACTATTGGAGTGCTAATGAATAACAAGAATATCATAAAATTAAAACAAGTAATGTTCTACTGTCTAAAAAAAAAATAAACTTTACAGTTCACACAAATTAAAAAGAAACAAGGCACGTCTTAAAAGAAATCAAGATGAAAATTTACGTAATATTGAAACATGTGAAGAACAACTTTAATCATTTTTTTGTTAAAATCATTAATGCACAATAGTTGTAGTAACAGTACATTCACCAAAAATGAATGTGGTCAAAACAAAAATATCAACAATTATTTCAGAATATGTTAATTTATTAAAAATAAAATTTTGCACAGATCAATATGAAATTAGTATTATTATAATAAAATTCCTGTATAATAAAAAATATGTGATAAAACCATATAAGTGTGCGTAAAACATTTACAATTAAAATCAACAAGTGACAGATTAAAATAAAACATATGACTTTTAGCTGCTATATACCATGTGGATAAAGGTCAGTGGTTTGGTTGAATATTGACTTTTATGATCATGAAAAGGTTAATTATTTGACATTCTCTTCACAGATCTAATATTGTAAAGAAAATGTCTTTACTTCGAAAGGACAATTAACTAAACTCTAAAAATTTACTAAAATTAAATAAATAGTCACCTTCCATTCTGGTTCCAGCAATTAGGATTAATGCAAGCAAATATATATAATGTCCGATGGTAAGGCGAATAATCTAAAGGAGCATAAATTTGGAGAACAAGTGGCAAATTTAAACTGCACAATTTACAAGTCACAGCAGTTGGTGCATCACCAGGCCAATCCTGAATAAAATCGTAATCTTTAAAATAATCATCCTTAAAAATATATTAACAGAAAAATTAATTTTTTGGAAATTACCGGTTTTCCACCGATTTTATTGGTGGTAAAATTGATTATGTCTTTATATTTTTCTGTAATTGGTTCATCCTCAAAACCAAGCAATACCCTATTAGAGATCCTAGCCATTATTATAATACAAATAAACTGTTTACCTTTCCACAGTCATAATAAACAATCTAAATTAATTAAATAAATACAAAAAAACAAAAGATATTTCTTTTAAGAACTAGCAAATAAAACAAAAGTTAAATAAGTAGTATATTTTTAATAAAATGTTTCTTAAATTGAATGCCGATAAATTAAATAAAAAGCCGACAGTAAAAACTTAAATTCCACTAACAAACGCTCTTATCGTTCAAAACTTAAACAGCTGACTAAAAATCAAAGCGACTGATTTTATAGATCCGGCTAAAGAGGTAGGAAGACAATATTCAATTTCTTACAAACTTCCTTCCTCTATGGATCTGGCCATCGTTTAATCGATTGTGAAAATCCCAGAATATTATCAATATTGTTCGCAAAAAGATAACTAAAACAAAATGTAAGCTTATTTGTACTTTACGTTCTTATGTACACCAACATGGGCTGGAAGGACGAATTGTCTCACCAAATGACCAACTTATTTAAGCCTGAGTTGAGTCATTTTCTGGTGATAAATGAAGTTATATGAATTATAGCTATAACATTAAGTATTGCTCTGAATGTCTTTCTGATTCTCGTGGTATGACAAAAAATATAAATTAATCACACATCTTTTATTATTGGTGAAAAATTAAAATTAATTTGAAATGAACAAAACCAAAAGCCCATAAGAGTTCTATCTCTAAGTTGGCACAGCGTACACAACCAAGCAGAAGTTTAGCCGTGCGATAAAATTTTCTTACAGATGTATACTGTATACCTCTACACACAATCCATAATAATTTCTTAATTTAATTAATTAAGTTGATATTTTTTCCCTTCTCTTTCCAATCTTGCTTTGGAATGTTCCTCCAGTGCCACAAGGTTTTATATTTTGGAGTCTTCTCAAGACTGTTGGCGAGATCCTTCTACGAGACCCAATACCGTCTTTCAACTGTTAATGAATTTTCTGAAGAAGTTGCTTTCACTCTACAATAGAGAAAACTTTCTCATTGTGAGAATACGCCTCGAATCAAGTTGAGACTAAATCTTCAGCAGTTTCCAGAACACCAAAAGTAGGACATTTAAGATCAACATCTTGACCAACAGTATTAAATTAAATTTGGTTCTGAAACCTCCATTTTCTGGGAGGAGTTATGAAATCAATTAATCCGGCAGGGCCCTTTTTGCGTGTATTCGGAATAGCACAGCGGGAATATATTTTCTCAGGATCCCCAAAAGGATCACGACTCGCCGTAAGCTCTATTCCTTAATTGATTCCTCCCAGATTATCTTCCTTAATTTGTTGGAGTCTTCCAAAATTTTCACAAGGAGATTTTACGTAATTCCTGCCAAGTTTCTTTTACAGTTTTTTGGTCACATTACCTCACATGAAGAAGTCGAGAGATACCGCAATCGTTAGAACTTACAGCACTCTATCAAATATATCAATCATATTTGAACTTAGTTCAATGGCGGAACCAAAACTTCATAAAATTTCATGTAAAATATGATTTCATGAAAAATAATTAATTAAAGGATTCAAATCACAGTAATCACAATCAGTGTTACCTTTGTGCGAAACCGGTTTTTTTACTGAATTACGTTCTGTGTAGCTTCCGCTACACGTTCCGAACTTAAATTCATATCAATGTAATCAATAACTTGAGATTGTTGGAGTAATTTTCAAGTGAAAAAAAAGTATCTATTCAGTACTTTCAAATTTGACAGGTTCAAAATATCTATACACCGATATTATTGATTAGAAAGCATGATACTCCAATATTATTTATTGAGATATATCGATATTTAATCATTCAAAACTTGAAACAAGTCGTTTGAAACGGTTTCTTTAATTATCCCTGAATTGACACTACAGATTGTGCAATTTCTAATTAGTCACATATATTTTAAAAATCTTATATCAAATAAATAAAAATTCATATGCGAATAAAAAAAAATCGATTTCTCGATAACTCATTTAAACTACTACAGTTTAAACTGAAGTTAGTTGGGTGTATTCAGTCTTTATAGATAGACTTCCATGAAAAACTACGAGAGAAATACATGAAGTAATCTTTCGAGTGCATATAATATCAACAAAAAGTATTTGTATTCTTAATATTAACGAAATAAACTTTCAATATCTGTACAGTTACAAATATAGTAAGTATCGATACACTAGTATATCAGAATTATCGAAATATCCCTAATTGTCAGCCTTTTTATCGAAATTCAATTTTAAAAAACAATATACTTCTAGTTGTATTTTATTGTGTTTATTTTATTGTCGTTTCTTAAGACTAATATAATTTGTTTGTACTTGTTTTTATTTATATAAAAAAATTAAGTTGTTTATCATGATAGTCCAAAGGTTGACAGTTTATTTGGATTCAAATAATAGGATTGTAAATAGGATATTTCTAGGATTTGAAGTTCAGTAGAAGGAACCGATTACAGATAAGTATAAATACCAAATTAATTTTACCACCCATAAAATCTGTGAGGAACTGGTTATTTATTTGAAATTCATTTTTATTTTATATTATTTTTAAGTTTGTGTCTCATTGTTATTTTAAAACTTATGTTTTTATTCAGGATTGACCTCGACATCCAGCAACCACTCTGACTTGTAAGTTGTGCAGTTTGAGTCCAATCAAAGTTGAACCGAATTTTTCTATTACAGTACTATCATTTGATACCTTCACCATTAGAGACACTTAGGATATTAAATTGCACTTGGAGATTAATGAAATGATTGTATTTTAGCATTATTATATTCCATTCGACTCCTAAACTATTTACTAGTACTACTGGTTGTCGTTTAATGAAATGAATTGTAATCCGCATTTGCTGTCTTATACATTTTGATGGCTATGAAGTGCATCTAATTATATAATGAATAGATATTGCATAGATAGCATCTCTTGATCAAAACAGTCTTTCTTTCTGCTGATGTAAAAAGACCTGTTTAAATAAATTAAAATTATTAATACAACCTGTATTATTTGGCTTTACATTTTCTTTCTCTGTAAATAATAAAATTTAATGGATTATTACATGTTTATTTTTTTTATAAATCCAGATCTGATTCAATTTATTTTTTATTTCTATAAATTGAATATTACATGCCTGAGGAACATCCACAATTGGTAAGTTTCACTGTTCATAAATTTTACAATGTTTAATTCATTAAAAAGCTTATTGTCATTTTTTTTTTCAGTTTGGTTTGTTCGAGAAGCCAAATTTTGGATTTTTGAACAATTGATAAATGATTGGTGTTGTGGTGGTGATGAATAGAGGAATGAAGAAAATAATGATGAAATCTCAAAAGTCAAGCGATCTCTGATATTGTTCATAGTGTGGATTGTTTCTACTACTATTGATGTGAATGAGGGTGAGGTCGTTTGCATCAAATCTCGGTCAGTCCGATATTATGAAACAGAGTTCAACAACGCATCCAAATCCTTGTTTCAGCAAATTTTCTCCGATTCTGTGTTGATCCGAACTTTGATATTGTTGATTGAATACTAATGATTTTAAATATATCGTTAAGTTTATTTTAATGTTTTTTAGTGTTAAGCCATAATACTATATATTAAACTGAACTTTTTTCGATTATTTGAATTACTGTACCTAATTTTATCATACATTTCTCTCACCACAGATCTCAAGAAAAGAATGCCTTTACTTTTAGAGAGGAAAAGTATCTTTATGAGCCAAATTGTCAAGAAAAATGATTCAATTTTAAAGAGGAAAAATACTTCGTTGAACCTGAGGCCCTGCCCACAGCCTCTATATATTAGAACAACTCATAGTGGACATCAGAACCTTATTTGAATTGCCACACATTTTGCACAGGTAATCAAATATTAATATATATTCTTTTAGTTTTACAGACCTTGTAGATTCTGGTCGCCTGATCAGATTGCTACAGATAGCTCTGTAGCATATTTGTTGATTCTACCCATCTGATTTACAAAAGAGATTTCTAAGAATTTTTCAGGATTTCATAAACTTTCAAAAAAAGAAGAAAGGTCTATTCGCGTTTGTTTTGTCTATTTCTCACTGTTAATATTATATTGTATTTATTGTGGAGCTGAGGAATTTAAATCCATTATTTGTAGGCTGATTTCCTCAGCTTCTCTTATTAGAGCCTTAGCGAGTCTTTCAATCTCCGCTCGATTGCTTCCAAGGACAGCCATATCACTATTCATTATTTATTCCCATTATTCAAGTACAAAAGTACTACTCCAATACTTCATATGGCTGAAATCACATCAATCAAACCTGTATGATGCAAGTAGATGGAGGCACCACATCTCCAGATGGTTTTTCATTTTTGAACTTTGAAGTATTCTACAATGTCAATCCTGTTCCTTTATTAGTTATAATTAAAAGAAAGTATTATTGCTTCAATTAAGAAGATATTTAGTCAGAATTTTCATCAAAAATCCATCTCTAAATAGCTTGTATTTAATTGTAACAACAATGTTGGACTTCCATTTATTCAAGAGTTAAATCAAGAGCCTCTTTCACTTGATGGCGGTGTCATACCGATGGTTCCTGGTTGTGGATAATGGATGTTGGAAAAATATCATAGAATTAATATATTTGTCACACATTTTAGTGTTAAAAAATAAATCATAGAAGTCGTATCAACCTTCCCAGGCCATACGGACCATATGAGTTGATTATTTTGAATTTTTGTCTCCATATTTTTAAGTCCTCAGGATCAAAAACCCTCCGTACATCCTGGAACTCCTTACTTTACGTTCCTCTATCCACTCTCATAATACCAGGTCTCAACCTATAGATTCATATATTCCCTCCGATAAAACTGCTTCCTTCAGCAAATCCTTATTCATTCGTGCTACCTCCTTTTGGAACTCTCTTCCTACCTCTATACGTCAATCCTCTTCCACAAATTCTTTCAAAGAACTCCTGTTCCACCAACTACTCCGCATTAAAACTTCCACAAACATGTAAAATTACTTGCATCTGTACACTGTTTAATTTCAATCTACTGCAGG